ACATTCAAAAGCCTCTCTTTTAGTAACTCTGAGATATACAGTAAATTGTTAACTATATGTATTCTACTGTATTTTATAACACTATAATTTTTTTCTCTTGTGTACCTTTATTTATCTGTAATTTTGCTTTCATTCCTCAACATCCCTCTATCACACCGGCCCCAATCCTTCCCAGCTGCTAGAAATCATTCAATTATCTCTATGAGGTCATTTTTTTTTCTATTTCCACATGTGAGGAAGGATATATGGTATTTTTCTTTCCATTCCTGGCATATTTCACTTAACATAATGTTCTTCAGGCTCATCCATGTTTCCTTAAATGATTGGATTTCCTTCATCTTAATAGATGCACAATATTCCATTGTATATATGTATATTACATTTTCTTTATCAATTCATTTATTTTTAAGGAATGACTAATGTATTATTATCATTATTATTTAATTTGCTATAGGACACATGCACTCACCAGAGGGAGACAGAGAGAGAGAACGAGAGGGAGAAAAGTGAGAAAGCAAGCCGCCAGGTCCAGGACCTAAATCACAGTTGACCGTGTGGGAGTCCAACACCTTAACCATCATCATACTACTTGCTGGCCCCAATGTTTTGTTTTTTATTTATTTTTGTTGTTGTTGTTATTTCTTCCATCAACGTGAGAGACAGAAAGAGAAGAGAGAGACAAGAGAGACAGCACCCGCTAGATCCTGACTCTGTGATCCACCCCTGCTTTAGCCAGCCAGATGCCTGGTGTGTTCAGGTGGGTTTCAGACTACGAAACCAGAGCCTTCCCATGTGAGAAGCCTCACAGAGTGTCGTACCTCACCACTGCTCCATCGTCCTCCCTCCCAATTCATTTGTTGATGGGCATTAGGTTGATTCTGTATCTAAAGAGGAAGTGAGAGTTCTGATTGTCAGTGCTCAAAGTAGACTGGTACAGTCTGTGAGAAGCATAGTAGGGCAACTTTTACTCTGAGCAGTTAATCTTCACTTAAGCTTAAATGAACCACGTGGAAACCGGGAAGTTTTTATGGTGATTAATT